GGCAATTCCCAATTGATAACTCATCTAGTCAAGGGTCCAAGTATTGGTTTTTCAGACATGGGAAAATATGGGATAATTATTTAAAAGCCTGAAGGCATGAGACACAGAGTTGTCGAGCATTGGATGTGTCCTGGTATTATATAACCTCACGACAAATCTCACCGACACCAATTATGCCATTAGACAGCAAATACAGTTTCAGCAAAATGACTTGTACTGAACAACGTGAACTTCAACTGACCTGACTACTCACAAAGATTGAAGTAGTCAGCTCCCAAAATCACCCGGTGGTCGAGTTCAATCTTCTCCTCAGCGCAACGAATCAACGCCAACGTCTTCATCGAGGTCCTCAAACCGACAACAATTTTCAGATCACCCAGATGATTCGAAACTTTGAGCCTCAGATTTTGGAGTCTTTTCACAACCATCACATCAATCACATCAATAACAACGGCACCCGAGTGGGGTAACGAATAGAAATTAGCCGACCGATTCAAACTGACATTGTGTGAAAGCATTGCACTGAAAAAGTAAAAATTTTACTCAGTACTTCGTATTTTGTTATCAAACGATCCACTCCTCGTGTTTTGGAACCGGTGATCTTCGTTTTAAGAAATTCAAACACAATCAGTCCTCTGCATCCATCGCATCAAAAGGACCTACGGTATTTTAGCTTCTCGATTTGTAAACCCCTGTTCCATCGAGCCAAAAAATATGATTCTCAGAACGGCTGCGAGCAGACAAAGAAGAGTTCTATAGAAAATGTTACTACAAAACGGTTATCCATAGTAAACAGTATATCAAAGGTAACCACCACCACCACATGTTCCCATAAAACAGTCTACATTAAATTATCTTTCAAAGGCGGTCCCCCTATGAATGATATGCACCAAAACCAATAGTAACCTCTGAACCGCACATTTCTAGCTGCTCAACTTCGTCTTACTACCTCTACCCGTGGAATGGAATTGGAAAAACGTAAACATAGTTGGCTACCCAGTTCTGCCTCACAGTTACAGTGACGCATACCGTTAATTACCACAACGAATGGTAGAACATATTCCACGCAGGATAATGAGACGATCACAAGGAATCCGGGGTTATCTAGTTCAAAACAGCTCATGACCAATAGACACAATTGATCCCGCATCCTTTTTCCAACCCTTGTTACGTAACTGCTCTGCAAAACCTTTGTTCATTTGCGGAGCGTTACTAATCCGATTACATCATCCCGTTTTGTGCGTTCAAACGTTGTTGATGTAATCAATTCACTTCTTGTTCTTATTTCCCAATAGTCCCTGTCTATCTGTACGTATCCGTTTAGTAGGATTTACAAATCCACTGTATTATATGTATATGCTTGTTTATTTTACGTCATGGATCGAGAATATTAGGCGAAAAATAATATCTCGCAACATGTGTCATCCTTCTTTCGGTTCCGATGCCATTTTAATGAATATTCTATTTCAGTGTTGCAGCATTTTCAACTACACGTTTGGTAGTCTCACAGAGCTGTCATTCAGTGCTCAAGCAGAGAACGAAGAATGCGCAAAAAGGTAACTGGATTTCAGATGGTGAATGTTTGGATTAGCCCATTCGGTGTCTCACAGGTACCAGGCATCTAAAATAGATTAGGCCATTCGCGCAAGGTGTTAACCGAGGGTAAAGGTTTGAAGTCCCTTCCCGCAGAAGAATCACGGTTCGAGTCCTGACAGGGATACAAAACGTAAGCACAACTGACACGTCCCAAATAGGACGGGACAGCTGTTCGGTGATGTTTGTTGGTTATCACAAACATTTCCATCGCATTTAAATGTAACTGAATTATTTATAAAAACTACCATAACCCGTAAAGTGATGCAATGTTTATGTCGAATAGCAGCACAAAATTTCAAATAAATAAATGAATAAATAAAGTCAATTAAAAAGGTACTCGAAGAAATGAAATTGGAGCTTTTGCTTATGAGGACACAATGACGCGAGTACAGCAAGAAGGTGCGCTAAACGGATTCACGGACTGAAACATCACGGATGACGTAAACACAAGATTCAAGGATGCATGTAAGCGTCCCTTAGGAGACTGTCCAACCCTGCCCCGCCCCCCGGGGTTGCTGTAATGCAACGGGCAAAGTCGATTAGTCACAACACGGACCCTGAGCAACACGCGGCTGTCTCCAACGATGCGAAACAGAATGCGCAACGCCTGGGAGCGAACGAAAACTGTATTGATTGAGAGATTCGTAACAGGCCGATAAAATCGATACAAAATCAATAACATCGAACAAGTAACTTTAAACAAAGGGCGAATGTCAGTCATCGTTTACGGGACGTTCCTGGGTTGCTGGGGCGCCGGGCGAAGCCTGAAAGGGAAGGCGAGAGAGGGAACTNCTGTATTGATTGAGAGATTCGTAACAGGCCGATAAAATCGATACAAAATCAATAACATTGAACAAGTAACTTTAAACAGGGGGCGAATGTCAGCCATCGTTTACGGAACGTTCCTGGGTTGTTGGGGCGCCGGGCGAAGCGTGAAAGGGAAGGAGAGAGAGGGAACTCGGTTTTAGGGAATGTATATCGCCCAATGCACTTTCGGTTCCATTACATTGCCTGCAGTACTACAGTGTTGTGAGGTGCTACACATATGCGTGAGCATTGTACTTGATGCGCCGCCCAAATAAAAGGGGTTGATGAACCCTCGCGGTATCTGCGACTGGACTTAACGATCTGTTATTGTATTTTAAGGAGAGGACAGCTGACATTTCGTCAGAGCGTCGGAAGTGAGCCCACCAAAAGTAGTGGGTAAATTTTATTCTACGACATTGCCTCATTCATGTGATAAATCTATCACAGTGTAAGCGCCTGAGCACAATCAGTTTCCTCAATCAGATCGAATTCGTCCCAGCCACGACAAACGGTCAGACTGTGCAAACAAATCAAGCAAATAGCCGATTAACTCTGTTTTTTGTCGACTACATACGAGTGTTCCTTCGGGATAGTTTCTCGGCTCCGGTTTGGACTGGATGTAAAAGTGTGTGATTATACCGAGCCGCAACAGACGCACGTGGACACAGGATTGTAAACTTGACGTCGAGGATTTCAGCCAGTAGCCAAATCGGAAAGTGCTCCATATACAAACTAAAGTTTATCAACTTTCATCTGAAAAGAAAGTGCCATGCAATCGATCTTTGAATTGGCTAGATATTTCATCTATCTAATAAAATGATTGAACCCGGAGAGAAATTTAATAACTTGTTTTGAGTGCTACACGGATTCGTAGTTGAAAACCGCTATGCCAAGTCCACCGCAAACTAAACTCACGAATGGGCTTAATGGAACGAAGAATCTATCCAGTGCTGACCCATATTTCTCTGAGTTCACCGGGCTCAGTGTAAGATTTACTGATATGAATGTGGTTAATCCTGAGGAGTTTCACCTGTCGGGGTGGGATTAAGTGATTGTTCCCTGTTTTCTCCTGTTTATGATGGTGATCAGTGCCACCCCCCCGCCCTCGGTATTTGTCTATTGTTCAACTCCTTGTATTGTTTTTTATATGCCTTGGTCATGTGAAATGTTTGCGTTATAATTCAAGCACCATGGAAACCTGAAGAAACTAGTTGTTGAATGTAAATAGGAGAGGATTGGAGCGACAGCCTCAACGTTTTAGTGAGATCACTCAAGCATCTCTTCTTTATTTGGGGAACAGCGGAATTCCTACTGTATCCAATGTGAGAATCTTTCCCGTAGGTTATCATGTGACATATGATACGCGTTTGACTTCAGCACACATTTCTCACACACAAATTTGATTCAAAATGCTGAAAAATGATGAGACATTGTTTTTGGTCCCGTAACCCTTGCGGGCTCTTAGGCCAACATACACCTTTATATATGATACATTATGACTGATAGGACAAACTGCAATAATCTAACATTTTATATTCAGTTTAGCTGTGGTGATCATGTGTGTATATGAGAGGGGATGGAATTTACAGGTGGTGTCTTGATTCACGTCTGGATTGGATCATTCGGAGGTGGTTGGCCAGCTGTCATTAAAACAGCTGATTGATACGCTCTTTTTGAGCAGGATCTCAGTGTCTCATTCATCAAAAAAACCTTGATAAGATCCATTTCTGTCAATGCAGTGGACAGATAAGCACTGAATCCGTTAGTGTTGATGTGTAACAAACCAGATAAAATAGCACGACTGATTAGTTAAGCAGATTGTGAACCCATTGTTACCAATTTTATTCCTTCTCGAAGTGTGTCGGGTACGCGTTATAGGCTTTACGCAATCTGGGTAAACTAATGAATGATACATTCAATCAGTATGATGGA